TATAAATCATGGTAAGCATGCATAAGTCATGCATGTATTGCTGTTAAAATGTAAAATTGGATACTGTATTTATTTGAGAATAATAAATATAGACTGCACGTTTTTAAGCTATTGACACTGAAGGAATTACACAAATTCGGGAATCAGTTTCATCAGATCTTATTGCTAAATCGCAGCCAATAGCTTCAAAAATTCTGGTCGCCGGAGATCATTGCAGAAGCTTGCATGCTTTATTGAAATGGTGTGGTTCAAGATGGGTGCCTTATATGTTTTTTTTTCTTTTGCATTGACAGCCTATGGTGCTTGAGTGAGGGGTACTGCCATTTTAGCCAACCAGAATCATTGAAGCTGATGACAATAATTTGGCAGCACACAATAGTAATTTATTGACATCAATATATGACATTATATGATAATTGTCCCGGTGTGAGCAGCCTAAAAAAAGCTACATTAGTTGTATTTGAAATCAAATTCATCTTCAATAATACAGGTTACCAGCAATGAACACTTGATGAAAGTGCATACCATCATGTATGCGTTGAGTTATCATTGAATTTGCCTTCAACTCACTATGCATGAGCGCAATCAAGCATGGTTTTGACACATCTACAATGTGGAAATTGCATTTTCTTTCATAAGGCTGCAACTGCGCTCGCCAAAAACATCAAGAAAGTTTTGCTTGTAACATCTCTAGTTTGTGTACATCCTGCTTGTTTTAAGACACATTGTTCCAAATCATTCTGACTATACGGACAAATTCAGTTTTTCTAAGCGACACATGTCACTGAATTGTTTTTTCGGTGTTTCCATCGCAGCCTATGCATGCACCTCGTACAAACTGAGTGTGAAAGAATTCCGGACAAGCCTGTCATCAATGGTGGCTCGTGGAAGAGTTGGCTACTGAATGTACAGCAGCTGCGCATGACTTCTGTTTTCTATGGAAAGGGAACTTTCCTGAGCCACCTGGTTACTGTATTCAAGTAGCTCGCATGTTCAGGATGTTCAATATTAGGCCTTTTGTTTTTCTCTAAAAAAGTCAGTGCTGTAAGTTGTGTGTGTAAAAGCCACCTTTGCAGATAGCTAAGTGTTCAGGGAAACACAATGTGCAACAATAATTATTATTGCCAGTCGTGCCCTTGAATAAGATTCAATAATGAACTTATTAGTGACCGCAGCAGGCGGCCATACACGTATTAAAATTTTGAGCCAGTCACATTTCTACATAGGTCCAAAGAATTCTGGCATGCCTGCGCTCAGATCTCCCACTGGAAAGTATAGTTGTGGCTTGTATCATTATGCATGCAGGACAGTGAGCACTAGCACACAGCTACTACTCCTTGAGGTGCCGCATGTAATCTGATCATGAATCGAAGCTATAGACAAGCATTATAGGTAATGGTTACCTTTTTACTACCGGCTGGAATAGCAAGCAGTGGCTGCTTGTCTCACCAAGGAGTAATGTTTTGGTGATCCTCACTGCCTTGCATGCATAATCATGAAAAGCACAGTAAACTTTCGAGTGGAATATCTAAGAGTATAGACATGCTTGAAGAATTTTTCCAAGTGGTAGTGTCTAGAAACACGACTGCCACAAACTGTTCTATGCAAACATACCCACTTATTGTAGGCACCAAAATTTCGGTATTCTTAGTTGATTGGGCAGCTGACAGCATTATTGTCTTACTTTGTGTTCCCCTGAACACATAACTTATCTGCAAAGGCAGTTTTCTGTTCTTAGGGCTGAATTTTATTACAAGCACAAAGCACGTCTCTGAATGTGTCAATGCTGCTTTCGAAGGTTTTATGCCATGTTTAGTTTATGTGTAATCTGCAGTTCACTTAAAGTTGAACATATTGTTTTGCAATAAGGCTTTAGCAGATCAATGGTTTTATTTTTACTGTAATATTGACTGAATATTTTGTTTTATTGTTATTGTAACCTTATTTCATTGTCTTCTCAAATTTAATGCCGCAAGTGCAATCAAGTGATTTTCTATTGTCATACTTAATCATATCTAGCTTTGCCAATACCTAACCATTTGTGATATATTAGTGATACCTAACCATGTTTAACATTGTTAATGATGACTGACAGAAGTCATTCTGGAATACTGCAGCGTTTTTGACTTCGCTGTGTCTCTTGTACAAGTATTTTGGAACGAAAATGGAATTCGGGGTGTTGCTAAAATCACAATTTGATTGTTAAACACAGATTTGTGGTGAAACCCATTAATTTCAACTACTCATGGTTCTAATACGTAGGCGACTGTATACCTAAATTTAGGGGTGAGAAAAAAATCATTTGTTCTACTGCTGCTTTTTGGCTGTTACAAATTTCTACCTTTATGTATTTGCTACTGGGCTAATGTGTTTGCTAAGCTAGCCTTCTAAATTTTTGTGCACTGATAGAAGTCTGCTCAAAGAGAGCAGTTTGTGCCTTTTGTATGTGTGCAGGTTCCTGGACCAAGCATTTGGCCAGTCCCTCAATCGCTTTGTATAAATATAGTCACTATAAAGCATGCAAGTTTTGGGACAAAGTGTGCAGTCATTGTTATGGTTAATAAAGGTTACAAGTATGCAACAAGATTTGTTGAACTTTCGCATTTACTTTTGGATATGCAGTATAATGCATACCAGGCAACACCAGCAACAATAATGTGTTGACGTTTAAAAGCCCGTCTTCTCTCCAAGCAAAACAGATTATCGTAATGATAGATGACAGTCACTAATTAATTCTTTCAATAATTGTGGCACCAATTTTGCTGATTACAATCGTGCCAGCAATAATTTGATGCCAAATTATGTAGCTGTTCCTACTTGTCACTCTCAACAGTGAACAGCTAAATGCACCAATTGTAAAACGCTGACATAGTGTAGCAAATTAACCATGGGAAATCCTCAACAAGCTGGTTTGCATGAAAAAATAAATGTCTAAAAAGGTGTTAAAAGATCTAGCAAAAATCTTTTTAGAATCTTGGCAAGAAGTTTACTAGGCTTCTGATAATAAAAGTATAAAAAACGTTTACAAAGGTTCTTTAATAAATCCAGAAAGACGTTTTTTGGACTTCTTGCTAGAAGTTTTCTAGCCGTATAATAACGTGGCGTTAGCATAGCTACAGGAGTTTTTCAGGCTGCTTAGCTTTAGATAACATCTCAACAAGACTTTTTATATACTTTTGGACTATCCTTTTTGGACATTTACTAGAAGTTCTTTAGCTTTTCTTGTGTTTCCTGGGGCGATGCCCTTGATGTACCAAAAGAAATTATAATTATGTTGTTCTTATTTTGATCTCTCTGCTTTTTATTCTGAATGCATTAGAATATATTATAATGCTTTGTCACATTATTTTTTTGTTTCCTTGTTTTTTTTCTCCTGTTAGCATCATCAAACATATGATAAGGTCCTAATATTGTATGATCGAATGTCTGGCTAGGTGACCCTACTTGTATATGTATCAGTTTTATATCATGTTGTACTGCCGTACAAGCACGTCTTTATTTTGCATACATACGCAAAAAAAGAAAAGTGTCTGTCTCTATATGGTCTTATATATATTGAGTCTTGCGGTGTGCTGTCTGTCAGCTTTGCCCTTCAAGCATAATGAGGCTTTGAGGCTTTTACAGGCCAGTTTTGTAATCCTGTGATGCTTTTTCAAAGTGCTAAAAGAAGATTATTATTAATACTATTATTATTATTATTATTATTATTATTATTATTATTATTATTATTATTATTATTATTATTATTATAAAAAATTTTTAAAAAATTCCAGACAACTTCATCTTGCAAGAAAATGCACATGAGAAATTAAAAACTTTTTTTTCTGCAAGTCAATGGAAGACATGCTCATGCATGCCTCCCCCAAACGAGCCATGTGGGCCGCCTCTACAATTTTTTTTATTAAGCACAATTTTGCTTTTGCACATTACCTCTGTTTCATTGTAGCCAGGCAGGCAACCTACAACCCTTAGGATGCGCACAAAAAAGTCCTGAGTTATAGCTCTTCTGGTTTCATTGGTGTTCATGTAGGTGTATATTGCGGCATCTTCATGCCAACGTATTTCCTTATGACACCGAGTTGACCTACACCACGTAGTCCACATACGGTATGAATGACCTTCATTTGGCAGCCATCTTTTATTTCGTTAGCAGAGGACTTTAACTTGTATAGTTGGTCCAGCTTCCTCATTTCTTTACATCTCAAAACCAGGATATGCATATGAAAGATGCCATAGAGGAAGACTCTGGAAATTTTGACAATTTGGTGTTCTCCAGCGTATACTGACATCGCACACCACACAAGCTCCTACCATTTCACCTTCATGGAAATGTGACTGCCGTGGCTGGGTTCGAAACCGGGGCTTTTGGGCCAGCAGCCCAGCACTATAGTCACTGTTAGCAAGGCGGATATGCTCCAGCTTCTTAGGCGCAGAAAATACAACTTTCACGCCACAGCCCTTATAAAGAAGGTACAAAACACGGTATGTGTAAAGATCCACTGCCATCTTAGCTGTCTTCTCACCCATGTCATGGAGACCATTACTGTGAGAGCTTTCGTCGCTTTGACAAATGACCAAATGCTTGCATTGCGGCAACAATGCGGCATTCTGAAACTCAGCCTTTTGAACATTCCTAGGATGCCCCCCTTTTGCATGTGTAAGAACACCTTTGCGTCAGGTGGACCATCTGGACAAGGGTGGTTATCCACAGCATGTTTTTGCTTCTGTTGTAGGTCCGAATCTCAGAGACCCCACCCTCTCACCCTAATGGCAACAGTGACAAGGATGGGATGACAGCAGCTGCGATGGTCACATTTCATTGAAGACAAAATGATAAAGGCTCATGACTGTGCGATGTCAGTGTATATTGAAAAACACCAGATGGTCAAAATGTTTTCATCATTCTACACTACGGCATCCCTCATAATCTTATCGTGGCTTTGGAACATAGAAGCCCAGATATTATTATATTAGCATCAATCATAAAATTATATGCTCACCTCAGAAAGCCACCATGTGGAACACAGTCGCAACGCTTTGAATCCATTCTTGGTGTCAAGGAAACGGCATGAGCTATCCCTGAAAAAAAAAAGTACAAAAAAAATACTTTTCAAGCATATAATGGTCACTCCGGGAATGTACCCAAAATTTGCCTTCACTGTAGAAATGTGTTTGGTTGATTAAAAACAATTACCTTGATTACATCGACGGCGAAAATTCAACACAGTGTGCAGTGGGCCCAGTCACATTGCAGTGTGTGGCGACAAACAACAAAAATGTTTTTCTGATAACAAGTAAAGGCTGCCAAACTAGACCGTCACAAAATATTTAGAACCACATCATCAAAAAGTAGTGCTTTCACTGTCTTTTTATCTCTACTTTCAGTGGTCCCTGTTGCTTGATGCCATACGTCTGTTCTGTACTACGATCTTGAGCACTGTCTACATGAAATAATGCTGGGACTTGATTTTCCATCGAATTATTTTGTACCTTATGATTGTTCTACTGTTGTTTTTCAAATCGACCTGCCACATGCATTCGAGACTCTTGATTCTGTGTCGTGAAGGCTACGTTCTGTTGACTACGGTATATTCACCTACCCCATGGAGCTGCGACGTATATCGACGTCTTTTCCTATTCACGTGAGGGAGATCGAGATTACGCCATGTCACCTAACGCTACCACCCTCTATTCACTCAAGGTTATGTTCTTGACACGATTATCAGTATGAAGGACAAAGCGGCATGTCTCTCTATTGGGAACTTTTGGATTTTATTCTGAAGTGTTGCCAAGAGGCATATGCTTTCAAACCTTTTCTATTGTCTGAGACTAGCGCAACTGTGCCTTAACAGAGGATACGCCATCACCTGCCAGTAGTGAGTTAGGCATTACACCAGAATGCATGGAAATATCATCGTCTTTGACCTTCTGGCTAACTATGTGAGCGTGCTTCCTGACCCTCTTGCATCTTACCAAGACATCTCTGATATTTATTATCGGCCCCTAGACCGAACAATCGTCATAAAGCATCAGATTAACTCTGGCGATGAAAAATCTAGCACAACAGCGGCCCTATCATGTTTTCTTTACTGAGCGCCCCGTAAAGATGGCTAGAATGGGGAGGTTTGATAAGCTTGGCTTTTTTGCTTGACAGAGAGGGTACTTCGACATGCCGATGCCACTAGAGACGCTGATGGCGCGGGTAGTCAGTGGTGCACTTCGCAGGCTTTTCGTGCAATGCGCTGTTCTTTTCTTCACAGGTGGTTGCTGCTTTACAAGTACTTTGTCTATTGGTGCTTCCATCTATCAGTGCTTGTGCTAGGTTTCTATGAAATGCATGAAGATGCCAATGACAGAAAAAAAAAAGATCCAGCATCGGTGTATTGTGCCTGGGTGCAAAATTTGATGCCTCAGCTCAGTCGTAGCTTTCCACCAGGCATCTCTAGCTCCCAGATCACACAACCAGCCTTACTATGCATCACTGGTGCCAGCACACTTAGCTTCCATGGCTTCTAACATGCCCAACCCACCTTATTATCCACCATGGCACCTAACAAGACCTACATGCTACTATTGTGGATATCGTGGAGATATCGCTCGTGTTGCAGGTGTCAGCAACACGAGTGTCATGGGTTTGACACTTATGAATGAGACGATTTCACCACTGAGGTCACTTTCTAGTGCCGTCCTTACGCTACACTTCACAGCCTCTCTTCCTCTCCACAAGGAACGCCTGAAATGGCGCCTCGCTGAAATGGCGCTCGGCAATGCTCACCGTCCCCCCTTCGTCGCTTCACGTTGCCACTTCGACCAGCCTTTCAGGTCACCAACCGTTGCACGGAGAACTAAACTATGCAGCTTTTGGGGGAAAATGTTCATTTAGCAATGTTATAAAAATTTCTCAAGGACTTCCCCATAACATGATACCTGTTTTGATAAAAAGCATAGCAGTGGAGGCATTAATAGAGACTAGTGCTAGTTTGCCAGTCATTCACAGTGATTTGTAAGCACATCTCCACAAAATCACTACACCCTACAATGAAGCTACGTGGCTCGCTGCTCAAGAGGATGCCATTTGACCTTCCGCCCAGTACACTGTTCGTGTCCACACTGTTGGAATTCTGCATTATATACAATTTGCAGTTCTTATTTTGTGTGCCCAACAGCTCATATTAGGGTGGGATTTTCTTTCAACACCCTCCTCCTCCATCTGCTGCCGGTAACGCGTTCTCCATATGAACGATACAATCTATTCGCTTCACACAAATGACAGACCACTTGTTTTTTCGCTGCAGTAGACACTAAGCTGCCTCTGTTCAGTTAGCGAATTGTTACAATTATGTCCGATGTCATTGATCGTGGCTATACGCTTGTACAACCATCTGCACACTATGTCACCAGAGGAATAGCCTTTGCATCAGGGCTCGTCTCTTTCGACGCTGGTTTTGCATTCGTTTGTGCAACAAACCCGACGTCTGAAAATATACTGGTTCCGAAGAGCACAAGGTTGGCTTGCATAACTACATTATAGCCTCTCTTTGTAGATACTCTTCAAGAGGCTTCATCTGCATTCATCTTTGACCTCAAAGCTTCCATCAGCTCCGACCTGATTTCTTCACAGACTCAACAGCTGCTTGCCTTGCTGACCAAGCACGAATTTTGGTTTGATGTCGACTCTCCTTTATGGGAACAGACGTGTGTCAACATGCATCGGACCGAGACCGACGGTACGTCCATCGTTCGTCATTGACCATATCGCGTATCTGCAGCTGAGCGGAGGGTTATTAAAAAAGAACGGCGACATGTTGAGATGGAAGATAATACGCTCTTCTGATAGTCCTTGGTCATCACCTGTCATCCTAGTATGGAAAACAAATGGTTCTGTGCGGTTCTGTGTAGATTACCGGGTGCTAAACAAGATCATGCACAAAGATGTATACCCTATGCCACGTATAGATGACGCTTTGCTTTCGCTACAAGCAGCCCGGAACTTCTCGAGTCTTGGTCTACGTTCGGCATACTGGCTGATACCGATGCATGAGGATGATAGAAAAAAAACTGCTTTTTCAACAATAAGTTCAATGTAATGCCCTTCAACCTCTGCAATGTGCCCGCAAGATTCAAGCACATGATTGACACCGTTCTGCAAGGCCTGTAGTAGAAAACTTGCCTGTGCTATTTGAACGACAATGTTGTTTTTTCGTAAACCTTTTGTCAACACCTACACCGTTTAGTGGAAGTTGTCACGTGCCTTGCTAACGCTGACCTTCAGCTGCATATGAAAAAGTGTCGTTTTGCCAGTAACACAACTAAAGATGCCCTGCAACACTTTTTGAGTATGGCCCGAAAATGGTGTTGATCATTAGTAAAGGCTCCAGAGAACACACAAGCCAAATGTCATAGCACAGCACGTGGCCTGAAATTCACACTTAATAATCAAAGTCAGATAAAAATTGTTTTCTCTTCCCTTGACAAATGACAGAAGACGCTCAAAAATCACTCCTAGAATGCCCATCTATCTGCCATTGGCTGATTTGAACATGGCGCGCTTGGTTGTTACGGAGATCGCCGCAAGAGGCCGTCACTTGTCCACACGTGCACGCGCGATCGCACTAAAAAAACGGTGTAGTCGAAGAAAAAAAAGTGCTCAAGGTTACGAGGCTGTGGCGTTGAATTTGTGAGGCAATACTCACTTCCGGTGAGTTAATTCCCAGGTTACTCAAAAAAGTGTTTCTGGGCCCCTTTACGGTTAGGCCACATTGTGAGTAAGGACAGCATTCATCCTGATCATGATAAGGCTTTGGCCGTTCTTCATTTTCCTCACCCCGAAAGGCCCAGTAGACTTACGCAGTTTCCTTGGCCTGGCTTCATACTTCTGCTGATTCGTACGAGACTTTGCCTTGATAGAGGCACCTTTGCACAAATTACTCAGTTCTGGTGTTTCCTTTGACTGGCATTCCGACTGTGTTAACCATCTGAAAAACTCCTTCACATCAGAACCAGTGCTTTGCCATTTCAATGAAACGGCACACACACTCCTGCATACTGACGCTAGTGGTCATGGTATCGGTGGTATTCTCTTGCAGCGGGATGAGTCACAATGTGAAAGGGTCATTGTGTATGCAAGCCGTGTCTTGATCAATGCCGAGAAGAATGACATCATCACTGAACAGGAGTGTCTAGCTGTCGTGTGGTTGGTGCAGAAGCTTCGGCTTTGCCTAGATGGCAGTCATTTTATTACCATTACAGACCACCATGCCTCACGTTAGTTTTCCACACTCAAGAATTTATCAAGACGCCTTGGCCGATGAATTATATGTCCTCAAGAATATGACTTCACTATTATTTACAAGTGCGGTAAGAAGTACAAGGATGCAGATTCGCTTTCTCACAGCCCATGTTCTACGGCACTGTCCTCTGGTTCTGCTTCCAACTTCAGAGGTGAACGCTCGGATGGTCCTTCCACGTCTGTTTCTTCCTTAGCCGTCATTGACAAGACACCTCCTCACAGCCACGGCTCCATCGTAATGCACCAACTTGATGCTTACTGTAGACGCATCATAGACCATGTTCAGGGGAATTCGCGACCACCTAATGCCAGCCTTTCCCGACAACTGAGACAGTTCAAGCTCGATAACTGTGTTCCTTACTGTCACGTCTATCACTCAGATGGTCAACACTGCATGCCTGTTCTGCCTCGCTATCTTCAAGTCGATATTCTTAAGGCCTATCACGACGACATGACTGCTAGTCACTTTGGTTTTCAGAAAACGTACGATCGCATTGAAGGTCCCTTTTACTGGCCTAGTCTGTCTGCCAGCGTAGCAAGGTTTGTTGCTTTCTGCAACTTTCGTCAGCACCGGAAGCTTCCAACATCACCTCAAAGCGGAAAGCTGCAACCACTTCCATGTCCATCAGCACCATTCAAAGTAGTTGGCGTTGATCTGTATGGTCTTCTTCCCATGACTACCAATGGCCATCGATGGATCGTGACAGCTGTCAACAACTTGGCACGTTCCCTTGAATTGTCCCGCATGACTCCAACCTTCATTTCCGATGTGGGTACATTTATGCTTCAAGTTTTGATTTTGTGACACGGTGCTCCTCGTGTCATCCTGAGTCTGCCAGTACAAGACTCTCGTTCACGATAAGGGAAAGAAGTGTACACCTAAGGGCTCATTTTTCCGTGTTTTTACACAATATAATTGAGATCTAATAGACAATAATGCCAAGGAAAGTATATGAGAAGTTATTAGACCAAATTTTAATGCAAATGTATAAATATTCAGCAGGAAGTTCAGGGGGTCTGGTATGTATAAAAAAAACCCAAAACACAAGCGAGTACATATGAAAGTATGAGAGAGAAATACTTTTGTGCCTATATATATATAAGAAAAACAAGTGTATACTTAAGAGCTCGTTCTTCGTGTTTTACACAATACTAATGAGATCTATCAGACAATAATGCCAAGGAAGGTATAGGGAAAGTTATTAGGCCAATTGTAATGTAAATGAGAACAAAGAAAAGTGGGTGAAAAGATAACTTGCCGTGGGCAGAATCCGAACCTGCGACCTTCAAATAACACGTTCAATGCTCTACCACTGAGCTAACATGACAGCCATCCCCCAGCCACTTTATTGGGTATCTGTGTCAATTTAAACGTGGGAGTGTTAGTCAGCGCCACTAGTAGCCATGGTAGCGAGTGTGGCACACTCTTTATGAGCCTGTTTGGAATCACGTAGTATACACTTGTACACGTAGTATACACTTGTTTGCCTCATTCATTAACGAGGGTCTCGTACTGGCAGACTTGGTGCCTTTAAGTTGTATACAGGGGACTATTAGTCAGCTGCCAGTTAGTAATAAGTTCACATGCTACGTGATGCCAAACGGGCTCATAAATAGTGTGCCACACTTGCCGCCATGGCTACCAGTGGCGCTGACTGACACTCCCACGTTTAAATTGACATAGATACACAATAAAGTGCTGGGGGGATAGCTGTCGTGGTAGCTCAGTCGAAGAGCATCGAACGCGTTATTCGAAGGTCGTAGGTTCGGATCCTGCCCACAGCAAGTTATCTTTTCACCCACTTTTCTTTCTTCTCATTTACTTTACAATTAGCCTAATAACTTCCCCTATACCTTCCTTGGCGTTATTGTCTGTTAGATCTCATATATATATATATATATATATATATATATATATATATATATATATTTATATATATATATGAATGTATGTATGTATATATGTCTACTGAAGAAGTTTTTCCAACGAGCCAAACGTACTTGGAGAGAGAAGAGACACAACTTAGCAGTTGTCTTAATGTTATTTCTAACGGTTTTGACCCGTGGGCCAGTCTTTGTCAGGGTTTGCGAACCAGTGCGACGATGGCATGATACATATATATTATTTTATGTGAACATTTTTTGTTATTCTCAAAAACACATGAGGCTGCCAGCTGGTGAGCATGCAGGACCCAAGTTAAGTGCGAATACCAATGGCGTCATTACCAAGCGATCATTCATTATTAGGTAGAGTGTACCAATGGCTCACCTGCGATATATGCCAGGAGGGATGGATGTATGTGGGAACCGGAAGGCAGCGGCCTGAAACTCATGACTGATGCCTGGATGTACGTCTGGTTTGTATCCTGCATATACATGTCATGTCAAGTCAATATTTCGCTGCAGGCATCTAAGGCAGTATCTCTACACAGCTGAGGCAGAAAAGAAATCTATGGCAGTAAAGTCATACTCCGCTACAATGAATGCCGGTTGAACGAAATTTCCGCTACAACGAAAAATTCATGATTCCCCGTCAGCAGTCCATAGGAGTGAATGCATAAATATTGTCGCCATAACGAACACTTTTTCTTCGATCGTCCCGCTTCAATGAAATTTCACAATGCAATTCCAGGCTCAGATACTTATTTCTATGTAGTAAACCCAATCGTTAACATTTATATAGATTTTCAGAGCCAGAAAATGCGTCAACAAAATTTAAAACATGCGTTGGCACCACCAGAAACCGCCGCTATACCAACGCTGTTCAGCAAGCATGGGTGCCGCCACGGAGGAAGGAAAGGTAAGGAGAGGGCATGCCCAGCCAGCGCAGGGCGTAAAAAGTGTGGCGGAAATGACATCATGGCGGCCATATTCACTAGGCACAATGGCGGCGTTGCTATGGTTACGTGTTGCGCAGTGGAGCTGGTCTAGCAGTGAGCGGCCGCAGCTGGCGGCAGAATGTGTGCCTCCCCAGGTCTCGTGCTGAGCCGTGGCGGACAATATCTGTGCTCTGCGCCGTGTTATTGGTTACGCAGTGTTTTCCTTGCTGTTACATTACTCTTGGCAACGTTTACAAATCCCTGTGTCCATCACGGGGTTTCAACAGTGCGTAGAACAAGTGCATATTTATGTGTCGTGCGGCGGATGACGCGGATGAAGCAGTTAGTGTTCAGCAAAATTGCGTTGGGCACCATGACGAAGCTGAATGACGACGAACACCTTGCAGGTCAGCGACGGTTGAGCAGTGCTCCTGCTTGTGACAACTGACGGCGCTGTTGAGCCCAGCAAGACGCCGTGAGGACCATGTGCACATACGTAGTTTCGTGTTGTGTATGTACAGTAACAACTTGCTTGTGTGTATTAAAACACCTTTTCTGTTCCGCTTGGTACACTCTCCACCAGCATTGCATGTAATCTCAACGTAACAGCAACCACGTTCAACTGTCACTAGCACCGTGCTCAGTCACCACGGTCGCAGAATGCTGACGCCGGTGATTTTCACGCGGAACACGGACACAGTGGCAGGACGCTGCGTCGGCCGCGTGGCGGAATGCAACCGTAGAAGGCGCACGACCGATCGTGTTGTCTGTACAGTTGCTGAATTAATGACGTGAAAGCACTCGCCGTTGTCAGTGCATCTAGCGCGCCTTCTCTCGTAGTTGCTTCGTTGTCGGCGAGCTGTTACTCCCTGTTATTACTCGTACGAAGCGATTTCGCTGAAGGTGTCCCGCTGGCTCAGAGTGATGAGCCCAGTTCTATTAGTTTCGGATCGTCACGACACACGCGCTGCGCAGCCCACGTGCTTTCCGAGCCGGAGAGGGAGTCGCGCCTTCTGCTTCGCATTCATATGTAAACAAGAGAGGATAATTTGCCTAGTCAATATGGCCGACTTCCGGCTTCATCGCGGCTTCACAACGAGTGACGTCAGGGCCTCTTCTTACCTTTTTCCTTCCTCCGTGGGTGCCGCCATTGCTCGATAGTGATGGCAATGAGACTGCCCTGCTTTTGTTTAGCCACTGGCTTGCTTTTGAGCCGCAGACGCACTGAAGCTGAAGCTCAGCCGTTCAGTTCATGACTTCCTTCTTGCAGCTGCTGGGTGCAACCGTGGCACGATGCCTTTTCTGATTCCGACGCCTATCATTATGTTTGCACTTGGTCAGTGTGGTAATCAGAGCGGCTGTTCGTCCACATTATAAACAAGATCAGCTAGCCGCGAGTAATGGATAATAAAAATGGCATAAAATAATGCAAAAGTCGCCGCTCCATGATAGCCAGCCTCCATCACGGCATTGTCGGATACTTTTGACGGCGGACAGCTGCTGATGTTAATGTGTTAATGCAAGTGTTTAGATTGTTCTCGAAAGCGGTTTTAGGCATTGTTTCAGCATGCTTTTAAAGACAACAGTTTTTCTTGGGGACTTTCGACACAAAAATTTTGGTCTGCCTGTCTGTACATTTGTCTGTTTGTCCATTCTTAACAGAATCAGGTACTTGCAACGGTCGACACCATCCGCAGCGCCCACCAATGTTGCTCAAGGTTGCGCGTTCATGCTTGTGCAATTGTCAATTAAAAAGCAATTATTGCGCATGTATGGGGCACCATAAGAACACGTGTATATTCTGCATGTGCGTCTATTACTGGAAACGGCATACGTAAGTAATTTTAAGGACCGTAGCGCTTATCACGTTGCGCTGATCATGCAAGGCTTGCACAGAATGGGGAGTGTTTCTAGCGCTTTGCTAAGACGAGACGGTGGTTGCACCTACCCGTCGCCTTGGTTTCTACACCTTATCACCTCTGAGATAGGCGCACACAAACGTCTCAGAGCCACACGCTTTGGTTTATAAGAAAACTGCCAGATGGCGCTCATGTCTCACGTGTGTGGTGTGACTTGATGCGTTCGTTCGTCTCCGCTGCACGCTCGAAGCACTCTTAACGCAGTGCCACTAGAATACGACTCACCAATTATCTTGCGCAGAACATCAAACAAATGTTTTGTTCACTCTCTCCACACGCAAGACTATTGTCTTTCGACGACATTTGCAGAAGCATGCAGATACGGGGCCAATTTTTTACGAAGGCCTCGCTATGCATGCGTGCGAATCACGTCGTGAGGCTGCTGGGAAAGAATAGAAAGCAACAGACATTTTTGGAATTTTAAGAAAAAACGTTCCTTTGTTTTGCTAGCTCAGCTCAGATATATTTTTTTCAATTTCACTAGAACGAAATTTTCGCTTCAATGAAATTTTTTCCGCCCCCTACCAGTTTATTTGTAGCGGGGTTCGACTGTAGCTCCAGATCACATCATGATGCTACAAACTTGAAACCTGGTTGACCTCTCCGTCATGAAAATTGTTATAATGCGAAAGTAAAATGCTAGAATCCCCCTAGTTAATTTCAGAAAACTCTATGTATGTGCCAGCTGGTTGGTGTTCGGTTGTGAAGTAGGAGTATGTGTGGGTTACTTGCTTTGCTGTTGATGCATGTATGCTGCGGGTACGTGTTGGTGGGTGGAGCGGTGGGGGTTATCTACTTTTCGAAGCTGCATGATCTTTCACTCTTTGTGGTAATGAGAATAGCAGCTATCATTTTTATGGCAACAGCAATTACGTGGACACTTTCGGCTGATTTTTGCCATCAGCGTCACTCTTTGTCACTGCCGCCATCATGCCCCATATAAATAAATAAATAAAAGCCACAAAGAAAAATAATTCAGAAAAATGTTTCCGGCGTGTAGAATTGAATGAGGGATCTCTCGCTCAGTAGAGCCTGGCGTTCATCGCTGAGTCACCAAAGCGCACGTCCTCCACCGTTCTAAACGCCGAAGTACGCTGATTTCAGAAAAAGTAGTGTGTTTTCAGCATTACCAACGAGATGGCACAGATGGCACATTATAGGCTTTAGGACAAGTTAGGGCAGTTGAGCCTATACGCGCGCGCTTATCTTGCAATGACCAAAAACTGTACGTCTTCGGCTTCCACCGGAACGATGGCAGTTGTAGTTACACAGCGCACACAGATTGCTTCGCTCACTGGAGCCACCCTTATGCAAAAGTGCACTTTTAATTACAGTGACAACAACTGCAGACCCTGTTAGGTTGCGCTCATCTTGTGTGTGTTTTCTTGAGTCATTTGTGCGTGTGTAGCGCGCAGCACGTTTCTATCTACTTGCATTCTTAACATGGCATTCCAATTTGTTGTTATTGGATTCATTGCTTCGCCCTTGCGTTGAAACTGTGACTTTTTTTGTTCTTCCACAAAAAACTGTGCACATATTCTGCAGAATTAAATGCTGCGAAAATTCTGTAGAAGTTCTGCAGATGTTCTGCAGACATTCTGCGGGTGTGCTGCATCCTGAGCTACTTCAAATGCTCTGCAAAATTTCTGAAGAACAGATGTACTGATTGCCTACTTGAAGTTGACAGGAGTGACAGAAAGACTGTTACTTGTCTGTACGCGTTCAGCATTGCGGGTGACAAATGTTCTGCACATTGTCAGCAGATAGGGTGCAAGTTTTTTCTAAAGGGTGATAAATCGGCATAAGGATATCCTGGCAACGCCGTGCGCGTTCAATGCATTCGTGATCTAGCGCAACCACATGAAAGCATTAAAAAACAGTTTAAAAATGACGAGGTACAACCTAAATTTCAACAACATGAGCTAGCGAATTGTTCTGTAGCAATGAAAACAGGTTAAATATTTATCTGGTTCGCCTGAGGGCAGAGTTTTCACATGCCACCAAGCAAACAAGCAGCTAATCATCGCAAAAGAAGCCGAAAGAAAGCAGTGCCTAAAATCAGAGAAAATTTAATTAATTGACCTATTCCCCAAAAAAATTTTCAACTATAATAAGAAAAATTGAGCACTTGTGCCGTGTTCTTTGCTCTTTGTTCCCATCGTTAGGCAACGTTATGTCTCTGGTAACAATGAAAAATATGCCTCTTAAATATAAACATGAGCTGGAAAATCACCAGGGGCGAGACCGCGAAATATAAGTTGGGAACAGTTTCAGGAGCAGCAAGATTTCAATTTTGGAGCAGAAGAACCTTGCTTTAGAACAGTTAGTGGCATTTAATATGCCATCCTGGGAGCTTGAAAAGACAAAATTTTTAGCAACGTGGAGACACCAGTGCACATTTCAATTGGCTAAAAACACATACAACAATGAAACAGATATCGAAGGAAGTTTCGAACAGATTATCGCTAGGTATGAACTGCACTACCTTTTTACATACCTATTTAGCCCTCGTAAAAAAACATGTTTAAAATCATTTCAAGTTTAAAAATATTTTTTAAAAAGTTTTCGTTGAAAACTAGGTTCCCAGGAAGCATTTAAATGAAAAATGCTTCACACTCAAAAATAAATTCCAAAATAGGAATCACACAATTATCATACATGTATACCAATGGGTCTTCGCTTGAAGAAAAGTCTAACGTGATAGTGTCAAGTGTACTGCAAATTTTTAAAAGACAACAAAAGCGTGCCGCACCGGCATTCGCAGCCACCTCATGCGGTGGCACCTTCAAGAGTGCTGTGCGGGAACCAAGAAACCTCGCCGCGCCGACTATCTTGTAAAGCGCGTGCGCATGACACTAAGTGATAAGCGAACGGTACTGATAAGGCCTCTTCACTCGAGCAACCATGCATTATTATTACGGCCCACGTTGGCCTGTTCTGTTTTCTTTAATATCGTAGGTCATCACCATCAATGTAGAACTTCCGATAATACATTGGCTCCGCGTCTCGCGCAGCGCAGCTAAGAAATTTGTGTCGACGCAAACGAACCGCCGAACGCACAGAGGCCGGTTTTATTGCAAAAAAAGATAAGAATAGAGAGAAAAACGAAGTAAGCCAGTCACACTGCAGAATGGCCGCCGACTGAAATACCAATTGAATGTAAAACTAAGTCTAAAAGCTTGTGTAGCCCAGAGCTGGCACGCAGCGATGCCTCTTGAAGTGCTTGTTGTGAGTTTTTGTTGCAAAACGGAGCAGTGGCAAATCACAATTCATCTGGGCCACGTTATCACCGACGCGTCATGAGTCACGGATAAAGAGCTGAAGCACATGCCCATTGATATCATTTAAAATGGTTTGTATATGCGTTCATGTCACCACGGCTTCGCAAGTAACCAAGTTTTTCTCTCTACCTGCAGACACCGATGTGCAAATTTTGCATGCGATAGCTTTTTAAATAGAAAATGGAATGAGAACACGCTTGTCTAAATAAATGGGTTGCACGCATTCTGTCGCTCATGGAAGCTATCTTGAGAACCCATGTACATGCCGGAGAACATCCAGGAGACGCGTCGCATGCAGGAAAATAACTCTACGTTTACAGTTACTCACTCACGCCAAACGCGCACGCGTAGATGTGGCCGCACGCAGCAGCGTCGACATGAAAACTGCAGCGACGAAAAGAACATGCTACACACAACAAAGAACCTAAGAGTCAACACCGCTACCCTTGCCACCCAACTCACTGGTTATCGCCAGGTGCCAGAGGCACCAGAACACACAGCCTAGCTACTAGAAGCAGCACACTCGATGCACGGCAGCCCATTTTTGCAGGGTCACACATATTTAAAACAGTTTCGAGGAAATTATGGTGGCACCATGGGAGCCTTCATCCCCAAAAAAGTGCAAAGTAGGAAAAAAAAACACACGCTTGGTTGCATTTTATTCGTCGACTGGGCCCTTTTTCTCTTCGGGATAGAGAAAAAAGTTTTTCCCCTCTTAGGCTGACAACATTTCAAAACTCTAGCTTTTGCCGCTGTTCTGAAGCAGTTCGGCGCAGTTGTCATGATTTTTGTGCTTTTGGAGTAGTGTGGCACAAGAAAACAGAAAGGTATAAAAAATCCACAATATGCACAGCTGTCTCACCTCTGAATAACTTCAGTTAATTAGTACAGCGAACATAGGCACAATTATGAACCAAAGCACAGATTTACTTTTCAACACTGCATTTAGCGCATTCACCATTAAATTTTAATGCATGCTTGCCAGTGCATGATTAACCCTGTTTTTTTAAATTCTTAGAACATACATTTCACTTCAAAACTAACTACTGAAAGCCACAGACAAAGACACTATTAGTGCACGTGATCATGATCACTTAAAAGTACATTTTCTGGAAAAATTCAAATAACCCCAAAAAACCACGATTAGAGGCCGTGAAATTCGTTAAGCTCGGCACACAAGTAAGCCACTATTACGTGGTTGGCATGCATTGAGCGGAACTGGCAACTCTGCCTGCAGGAGCCAATGCAAGTCTGACAAAAGAACGGCAGCTATTTCAAGGCAGATATGAACACAAAGCTGACTGCAATAGATGGATATTGCACTCACCTGTGTACTCTGTAACATTCTCCCCCAAAAGCACCGGCACGTACTCATACATGATGACGTTCTGGGTGAGAGAGAAAAACACTGCATTTAAATCACACGAAACGATTTAGGATACAGCACTACAGCTCTAAAACACTGATAACTTTTGAAGCTGTGGCATGATTCCAGGAGAGAGCATAAGAGACTACTATGCAGACTAGGCATCAGCATCACAAGTTTTGAATTTCAAGACTTATGTTATACTAATAGTTTTATTGTTTACAGCCACTTCGCTTTTACATATTTCACGTAAAAAGTGTTTTGCTTCTGGTTCGTTGCCAAAAAATTGCAGTCAAGGGTGAAAGATTGTTGTTTCACATTTACTTTCATCACCAATTTTAAAAATCTAGTTTGCTTTCCTGCAAAAGAACATATATAATAGGTGCTCGACTGAGGGTTATCATTCATTCACATTTTGTTACAGTAACTTTAAAGGTCTTTAATTTGGCGGGAGCTTTATATATTAAATGCAGAAAACGCAAGCATGAACAGCTTGTGTAGGAAAACATGCTGTTGTAAAAAGCAAGAGCTTCAAAGTGGCGAGGCTGTATCGGTGTTGGAATCATTTACGAAGGAGCAACATAGTCTCAAGTTGTCAGGACAGCGGTCTAAACAACCCAGGAAGTGGTTCAAAGAAATCTGGTGAAAATTTGGCAGTAGTAAATAATATGTGGCTTGAGGAAAGGAAGATGCACGAGTTGCTGCAGCCCTTACGAATGAACGGCTCAGCACCATGATCGGTATTGTCCTAAGAGAATGTCTCTCTGCCCGGTTGAAGCAACACGTGCCAGATATTTAGAAGACAGGCGGCAAACAATCACTGCAAATTGACACTGTAGCTGGTGATAGCAGATGCTACAACTGTGTGTGATGAAAGTCATATGCAAGCAGCCAGCATAAAATTTCTAAATAAGTGCTCATGATATCACTATACAAAATTAATCAATCTGTCATTAAAAAAAATCAGCGATATACCGTTTATACTTGATTCTAAGCCGATGTTTTTTTTTTTTTCGAAAAAATGATGTGTGAAAATGGGGGGGTCAGCTCAGATTCGAGTACTACGATTTGGTCGCCGCTGCCGCCTGCCTGAAGGCTCGGCCGCGCTAGCGGCATTACGGCCCTCGATGCGCCAATCTCAAGGTACCGGTTTTGCATGCCGGAGATTCATTTTCACAGCATATTATGGTAGCTGCGAGGTGACGAGGCCGCTCAGGCCCGTTCAGCGAGAGCATAGTGGTCTCTATTCCTTTCGTACGGTCCAGTGTCCCGAAATCACGCAGTCCCACGTTCACGCAGCGAGGGAGCGAGGGTCGTCGAGCCGGCGAGATTTCACGTTGGAAAAGCCAAGGAAAAACGGGAGGACGTGGATCGTGCCACTTGATTGCCGCCGATGGATGGATGAATTGACATGGCCCACAGTACAGTGGCTAGAATAGGGAAGTGTAATGAACGCACCAGCTAGTGCGTAACGCAGTGGGAGGAAACCAGTCACGGGCCCGGTGGACTGCTTTTCACATTGAACCAGAAATTGACGGAAAAAATACTTAAAGAATCGCAGAGGGCCAAACCAAAAAAAAAAAAAAAACTATCGGTTAAGAAGAAGGTGAAGGAAATGAAAACTGACATGTGAAAAATTGGCATGATTAAGAAGTCCGCACTAGAGATCTATTGAACTTTTAAGCAGGAAATAGCCAAGGAAAGGATCTATGATAATACTCGGGGTAGTTCCCAACTGTTTGAGGCCAGGACAGGAGTATTGCGAACCAAGACATATCGGGCCAAATACGAAGAGGTAGACACGGTATGCAGTGCATGCGAAGAGAAGGAGGAAACTGCCGAACACTTGATAATGTTCTGTAAAAGGCTTCACCCCTTTGGTTTACGATGACGAAGCAGAGTTTTTCAAAGCACTGGGGTTTAGAGACAGGGAGGGCAAAATAGACTTTAAGCGGGTAGAATTAATTAGAAGGAGGTTATCTGATTGGTGGCTAAAGTCAAGGCACGAGTGAAAATTAAACTATTCACTGCAAAGTACCAGTCCTATACTTCACTATTTAAAGGAACAAAAGAAGATAAATTTAGTAGTTGGTTTACTAAGTATTACAGCTAGGTGGCGTTAGCCGCCACCCTATCTAAGGGGTATAGCCACATCAATCCATCTAATCTATTTAATCCATCCATCCATCCATCCATCCATTGATCCCGTCATCCAAGGCGGCAATGCGCTGCGCAGAGACGGGAATCAACCACGTGCACCGGTAGTGGGAAACATTTAAAATACATGTTGTTGCTCGTGCACGGCCTCATATGGCAACCAAGCAAATATGTCAATTAGCTTCTGGAATTACAGGATGCCTACACGGATGCGCGACAACTGAAATATCAGCAGGGTACCAAAATTGAGCGTGTGACGGCACTGAAACATTCTATCGATGTGAAGTGGTAGAAGAGTGGGACAATGAACTCAGTTGTGAGCCATTGCTTGCAACACCTTCCAAGGCGAACCATCATTTCCTGAAGCACTAATCTGTAAATAAAGTCTCATCATTTGTAACATGCATGGCTTGCTATAGCTACTTATGCTAACGCAATATCAAGCTCATAGAGACGAGAATCATGAGAGATATCTAAATGAAAAACTATTTTCTGCACACTGGTCATACAACCTATTTTCGTGTAGTAACTCACTATCTGTTTACAACAATGCATTCTTAATAGTTGGTCGCACATCTTTTTTTTTTTATCCCCAAGAAAAAAAAAGTTCTTTGTTTCACAGGTTCACCACAGAACATTGTTTCCCTTGAGCTGCAAGCATTGGTGACGCGCCTGAGCTTCGAGTGCAATTCCTCTTTTTACGGGAAGATGCTCGCTCCTTGTGGAGTGTGTTTGTGTAAAACCACAGATGGGTTGGATAGATTGATTAACTTTATTTGGTCCTTCAGAACACGCTTTAGCACGTTGCGGGCCGCTCCAATGTCGGAACAGAAAGACCTAGTCTCTCTGCTGGGTTGCGGGCCCGGTGGACTGGTTCGAGTCCGAAGCTTGTAATAGCACTCTCCCATTTGAAGGGCGTGATGACTTTCCCAGACCGCCAGAGTATATTTTCCAAGTTTGCTATATCGACGCAGAAGATACGTGTATTAGTTGACTGTATTTTGGGATAAATTTTGTTCGAGCAGAGAAAACTTGGTCACTTAATCGGTGAGGCTCAGGCCATGTTGTGCGCAGGCCAGTGTTGCATTTTTGTTTGCAAGCAAGAAACAAGCTCTTCCAAGCTGTCATTGTGAAGCTCGTACGTTGTAGCTAAACCACTTTGAAAACGTGATTTCAAGGGCGTCTACAAATGTGAAGAGCTTCTCTGAAAAGCCTACCCATAGGTGTAGTCACCTGGCAAGGAGGGCAAAAATCTGCTCTATACATTGAGTAGGCTGCGGGCACTCTTTTAGTCACCTAAAAGGGGGGCGAAAAACTTGCCTGATACACTAATTTAAGATGGAGGGGGGCGCTGCAATGAGCCTTCGCTTCCACCCCCCTACCCACCTGAACGGGAATCCTGCGCACGCCTATGAGCCTACTCCTATCAATGCAGACAATTTCGCCATTCACAGTGTGCTCGGAGTGCCGGGAGATGAACCTCTTGTTAAAGTGCAGCTCGCATGCAGCCGAGTTTTCTTGAAGCAGGTTTGTCAGCGCGCGGGATCTCTCTCCGCCACTGCGCGAACAGAGCTTCGTCCTTCCGAACGCCGAACAATGTATGCTTCTTTTTAGCTGACTTGTAGCCTGACGTGGACCCCAGGACGAAGCGATGACTTTGTTTTCGTACTGTGAGAGTGCTACCGCACAAAAGAAAATGAGAACGAAAGTGCCCGACGAAACTGTCGGAACCGTGTAAACAACGGATGGATGGATTGATGTGGCTGTTTCTCTTAGATCGGGCGGCGGCTAAAGCCACCTAGCTATAATACTTAGTGAACCACCAACTAGATTCACCCTTTTTTTTCCCCTTTAAATAGTGAAGTATAGGACTGGTACTTTGCAGTGAATGGTTTAATTTTCACTCGTGCCTTGACTTTAGCCACCAATCAGATAACCTCCTTCTAGTTAATTCTACCCGCTTAAAGTCCATTTTGCCCACCCTGTCTCTAAACCCCAGCGCTTTGAAAAACTCTGCGCCATCATGCTGAACTATAGGGTAGAACTACCTTTATTATCATTCAAAATCATGACTGCTGATTTTTCCTTACTGAATCTAAAATCTATCCTATCTCCCTCATTACCGCAGATGTCCATCAGTCTTTACAAATCTTCCCTGTTGTCGGCTATTAGCACTATATCATCTGCGTACATCAATGCTGGTAGTGCCTGTTCAATGAGTTTTCCTTGTTTGACGAAAGAGAGGTTGAAGCCAAGTCCACTTTCCTCTAATTTGTACAACGTATAAACGACTGCACGCTTCCCTGCGGCTCCTCCTTAGAGGCTTCAGTGCGCTCCGTAGGCGCTGCTCGCCGCTCATCACACTTCCCTATTCTAGCCACTGTACCCACAGCTAGAGGTGTGCGCTGAGGCGGTTTCTACCAGCGACAGCGTGGAGGTCGTTCTGAGTTGGCGGCAGCGGCAAATGTTGATCTTGCAAAATTATCGGTGGCAGCACATGACCACTTTTCGTTGGCGGCGGCACTACCGGCGGGGTGAAAACCCAAACTACAATTTAAAAAAAAAAAAGCTTCATTGCTGCTTTTTCTCTGCTTATTTAGCTGAAAATCAGTACTTTTAACAGTAATGCTTGAGAGAATAGCATGGAGATGTAAGAGAACTGGCAAACACTCCGTAAATGATTTGTTTTTCAGCATACATATTGAATATAAGTTCTGTCAGCGCGCCCCGTTTGTTCACATAGCTAACACTGTATCACAAGAAATTTCATTTCTTTTTACTCTCACAGCAGTTTCATTACATATGCTAGGTATTAGTCCTTATTAACTTATACTTTGTATTGTTTTTACTTTCAAGTAAGTGTTA